GTTGTGCAAATTGCAAACAGAGATTCTCCACTCGCAAGTATATCTCGAGTGTCCTTGCGGAAGAAAACTTGAAAACGCGTTTGCATATGGGAATGGTAATTGGCGCGCTACATAACGGATGAAAAGTCGGAACTACCTCCTGCTCCGTTAGCCTTTTGAAGTTCCATCTTAAAACGGCAATCAGTATTGGCGATGAGAAAAGACTTAATAACGTTCAGGTCACGTGTAGAATGTAAAACAGCGCGACGCGTTATTGAACGATAACTGCAAGTTATTAGGGTCGATTGACGAGTAACTGGACGTAAGGAGTGCGTAAAATGCCTCTCGCGGTGTGCGTGTACGTATAGAGCACCGTCTCGATTGTTGTTGCCATCGCCATTGGCGTTGACTGCCGACGTTACATATGGAAATTACTCTCGTACAAATGTTGCTAGGACTAATTTGGCTGTACGTGCAATGTTACATTAACATTCGTGCCGAGATCAGAGCTGCACAATAGCTTCAGTCTGTTCTCTTCATCACGGGCGCACGGTGTCAATATTCCGAAAACGGTTCACTCGATTCTTTCGAAATTTTGAAAATTTCTTCTATTCCATCTCGGTTCGAATGTCTTTCCTTCGATTCGACTAAATGGAAATGTAAAATCGTAAAAGAATCAAGAGCACGGTCATTGTGAGTGTCTTAAGGATAGATAGATTCGATTTCGTTTGTGATACGCGAGTGATTCGCAAGTGTGATTCATAACTGCGCGATGTGTTACGATGAAATAGAATAGGTAGAATAATCAGATTGAGAAGAAGGGGTCGACTTGCTTTCAGACAAGATGAGAAGCGCGAACAGTTTGGACCAATATAACGACGATGACTTCTTCAGCGGTGGTCCCTGCCCTTCTTGTCGGTTAGCCATTAACAAGGAAACTGGTCGACTCAAGTTCGTAAGATGTTTAAAATTAGCTACTTATCGTTAAGATAATGAAAAGATATAGATAAAATCAGAATATTGGAAATTTTTTTTTTGTTTTGATATCGCAGGTGGTGTATGGGCGGAAACGATACTTGGCGCTTCCGAGTGAAATTAATGCTTCTGATTCCCGCCGTGTTATTGCCGATCACTATAATTTTCATCGCCCTCTCGAGGTCACAGGTGATTGGCAAAACTCCTTATCATCGTACGCATTTGGTTCACGCGACTAAAAGACAGGACGAGAGAACCGAGGAGACTTTTCCGCGTAAGTCTATTGCCAGATATACATAACGATGTGGTCATAAAATGAACTTGATATTAACGACGTCCGGTTCGTTGGTTGCTCGTAGAGATTTGAATAGCAGAATAAAGTGCGAGATACGTGGCGTGATTTATCGATTATTGTCAGAGAAAAATAATTCAAATAACACTCGGAAGATGGTATAGCTAAAATTGTTCTTGAGACTTCTTGGTGTAAATTGTTTCAAGTTTGCCATTGCGGAAGGAGTTTTTAAATTTAATTGTTTTCCTGCCTTACTATTTTAAATATTTTAAATAGCTTGTTTTAAGATTTCAAAAATATATTGATAATTCTGAATGAAAGATATTAAATGTAAGTCAAGAACAGGAAAATGAATAAATATATATAAGTCGTAAAATTATATACGATAAAGAAATAAATTTTTTGTCAAAATTTTATAAAAATTAATGGAACAAAGAGGAAGTATATTATTCTTAGAAATTGTTAGCAGCGACCAGCCGCAGCGAGATAGAGCGGGTAGAAGAAGAGGAAGAAGATAGAATCCTTATACCTGAAATGAAAACTTACTACGCGCCGATGGAATCTCTACTTTCGCCACGACAGCTTCAACGACGCAAGAGAGACCTGGATGGGGTACATTATCCAAAACAAGCAAATTCAAAGCGATTCTACAATGCGATTCTACAGAACGCTCTAGCTAACTGATACCATTTTTTCTTCCTCCGCTTCTTATTCCTTCTTCGCCCTTTTTCCATTTTTTCCAAAAAAAAAAAAAAAAAAAAAAAAAAAAAAAGAAAAAA